GAGAGTGGTCTAATGCAAAGTATTGAATGTTCTTTTTTTTTCATCGATGTACAGCTAATCGATCCAAACCAGTTCTTTATACCGACTTCGCTGACAGGATTGTAAAATTCAATTAATAAGGTGAAGTCCCCATCGAGTACTCAGTCTGCATAACACTTATTTCACTTATTTCCATTATTTCCATGCATATCCGATATGTACTGTGTATGGAGTATGACAAAACTGAATGAGTTTAGCATCCTGTGCGCTAAATGGTGTGGAATTTGCGTGAATTTTAGGTCAACATTCTTATGAATGTTTTGATGAATTTTTCGTATTTAATGCTTATGATAAACGAGGACAATGCATCTCTTGCTAACAATTTAAATACAATTGTTTAAAAACAATTTCACTTCAATTATTCCTTTTATAGCATATCGTCAGTATAGTGACGAAGCATTGATTGCGGAAAAAACTTTACAAGCTAGCTTTTACATAGTTTCTATTTTTTTTGGCGGAGGTGGGCTAGCTTGTGAACAGACTCTGGCTCGAAAGGTCTGACTGGTGCTGGAAGGTCCGAGAAGAAATTCAGGCCGAGAGTGGCCGGGGGGGGATTGGGGTGGGGTTTGGGGCGCACATCCTCGACTAGAGGGCCTCTTCACATGCTAAATATTAGCATACCTTCTAAGCATTTGGTAGTACATTAATGAAAAATTCCCTAAGTTGACGATTTTCTCTATGTTATCTCCTGTTTGCTATTGATGTTATATATGGGTTATTGACCAAGCGTGAAGTCAAGATGGCTTGATACTGGCCAAGTTCTTTTTTTACATGTATGTGGACCGAGACGGAGTCGAGGTCCATAAACACGCAAACAAGAACGAGGCCAATATCCAGTTATCTTGACCGAACAAGCATGGTCAAGAACACTATTTTCTTCCAGGACACAGCAGGTAATCTCGAGCGGGCGAGGTAGCACCATCTTGCCTGCTCGGGTAGCCAATCACAGCATAGGATTCGGTTCATCTTGTCCGCTCTTGAAGCTAGCCATATATAATAAAAAAATGGTTATTTTAATTTGAGAACTTGCTCCCGAGAAACAAAGGTGTCCTTCGGGATTCCCGCGGCTTGGAATGAAACATGCAAAAGATATCATGTCAGAAAGTCTTTTCTGCCCGGCAATGCTTATAGCCTCTCCCGATCCAAAAAGTTCAATATTTGACCAACTTTGAACGAAGTCTGCCGGACTCTGATGAAATTCTCCAGCTTTTGTATTTACTTTCGAATTTGCATTTGAACTGATGATCAAAACTTATGTTTTCTTACTCAGATTAATAAGTTTCTCTCTGTTCGGGAATTAGGAAATTATTGGCCCTGAATAGAAGGTTTCCCGCTGAGTTTGGAATTCCTCTGTAGTGGGCTAGTTTTACGAGAGAAAAACACCGAAATTTTGCCTTTCCAAGCAGGAAAAAATTTGTAGCCGATTAAAAAACTTTAAATAAAGTTTGAAACTATACTCTTGAAATTTTTTTTTCAATCGTGTGCGTAAACTGATTAAAGTATTTTTAGTAATGCCAAGTCCAAATTCTCGTTGATTCAATCGTACACGCTTTTCGTTTTCATCAAAGACGATAAATTCAATAACGCTGTCTCGTGATCGAGGAGAAATTTGCGGACGGTCTCGTATCGAATGGATCTGGATGATGGTAGCAAACATCCTGAAACGCATCAATCATGTTAGCAAGGACGGCCAGTCTATATTACCGCCTGTGAATTCAGCAAAAAACGCCAAAGAGGGGCTGCACAATAAAGAACTCAGGTTTTTATTGAAGTCAAAGAGAATTAGGCCTCTGAGGGAGAGCCATTTACAAATCGCGAGCTCATTTGCTCAAACGATCAACAGCAAATAGATGACATTCCAGCGTCCTTGCAGACAAGTCGGATTTGAATGCCGAGGGACACTGGGTCACTGAACCGAAGGAAAACTTTCGGCCTAGGGAGGCCTGAACCTTTAAGTTCTTTGTGACACAGCCGTTATTAACAAAGTTGTTTGTAAAATCTTTCCCAGCTGGTTGTAAATGCTGGTGTGTCTCCGGCAGTAAAGATTCTCTATTTAGATAAGGAAAACGCAGGTCATTCCACTGAAATAGAACTTGCACTGAGATTTTTGTGAAACT